AGATTACAGATGCCCAAAACCCAACCAATCGGCAAGAGACAGTTACCATAACACAGATATAATTTCCAAAATTCATTATCTGTGGGAATTGAACCTTAGACCTGCCACTTAAGGGTTGACAACCTATCCACTTCACTAGGTCGCCACACTCTTATTTTTCACTTCATTTATAATATCAAATTTATTATTCATATTATTCAAATGATTAATTAACTTTTCTATTGTTGATACTATAATACTCAAAGTAGTGTAATTAGAACCAGAAAGAAACTCTGTAGCTTTGTGAAATGAATGCAAAAGGTCAACAAGATCATGTATAATTTAAAACTCATTATTAAAAAGTAACATTTCTCAAATATTACTACCATCATGCTAATGCTCAATATTTGTAGAATTTTCAAGATCATTAACTAACCACCTAATTGACCTTTTAAGTTTTATAAGTCTTTTTAGTACTATATATGTAGAATTTTACTAAGTATCCACATCTTGAATTACATCAATAGTTTCTGATTTTTTTTGCCAATACTAATTTGTGCTTCTCATAATTGTTTATGTTTTTTTTCTCTACTCAAAAGTCTAATTAATGCTTTATATTTTATAATTAGATTATGTACTTTATCTAAACTACATTAATACTTAATTGTAATGTGTATGCTGCATAAAAAATATTAACAACAGGCTTGGATGATGAAATTTTAGTTAAAAGTTGTATAACAGCTGCCTTAATATTTGAATCATTATCTGTCATAATACTTACTAGTTTACTTCCACTAATGCCAAATTCTTCCAATACAGGTTCAATTGTACTAACAATGTTACTAGCAGTTTATACTCACTTATCTTAATTATACTTAATATAGAATCATATATCTTAAATTCGTCAAAGATCTAGTAACATGTTAACCCCAAGTAAGAATCATGTGCTCGAGATGTCCACAAGTCAAAGATAAGTAATACCATATCTGCTTGGGTGCTAATCATGTAGTTGATAGTTTTTGTTGTATAAATTGTTGTATCTGAAATTTCATGCTTAAGTGTATTTATACAAGGTGCTTTATATCAAGGATCAAAAAAATTTAAAAAGGTATAAAAATTCTTATTTTCTATTAAAAACAAAGAAAGAGTACAAGAAAGAAACCATTTAATTATATTATAGGTAAGTTTTTGTTGTATTTGTTTGAAATGTAGTTTTGTTAAAATTGTTTCAAGTGTTTGTTGCAATGGTTTTTTAAGTTCTTTGATTGTTTTATTTTTCAGAGACATTTTTGTTATATAATGTACATCACGAAGATGATTAATCATATTAGAAGTTGAGCTATGTCATGTATACTCTACTTCACAACCTTTGATTGAACATTGAACTTTTGTTACTCTTTCATCATCTTCTTTATATTCAAAAAGGTCAAAAAATAACCAAGCAAAACTATCCTTAGAATTTTTCTTATATCGATTTTTTTTTTATTTTTTTTTTGAAGTTAGTTGAGAATATGAATTAGTAATATTGGTGTGGTGACCTAGTGAAGTAAATAGGTTGTCAACTCTTAAGTGGCAGGTCTAAGGTTCAATTCTCACAGATGATGAATTTTGAAAATTATATCTGTATTATGGTAACTGTTTCTTGCTGATCATTTGAGTTTTGGGCATCTGTAATCTTAGGTACACCAAGTCAGGTTCTATCTAACATTAGGAGCTTGAAGCATCTATGCAAAGTGTAATGTTACATAGTACATGTACATAGAGGAATATAAAACTGGTGTCATATAAGGCTTCAGACAAATCCATGATAAGACCACTAGGTGTAAAAGGCTAAGAAACCAAAGAAACAGAAACTTACTTGGAAATTCTGAGTAAAGTGGTAGCACAAACTTTCAATAGTGCCATTGAACTGATGGAAGCCCATGAAACACCTTCATAAGAACTGTCAGATAAACTGGATGACAAAGATGTATAGAGGAGCACATGACCAACCAGGCTGCCAGAATCACTGAAGAAAAAGGATACATAAGTATATCATACCGGGCCATCTGAATTAAGAGTCTGGGGAGTTAGTTAGTTACGAGTTGTGGCTAGTAGGGGATAATAGAGAAGAAGTCAGAAAGATGGGTATCAGGGTTTGGGTGAACTTTATAAGGGTAATAGTGATTTAAGAAGTAACCCTGACTGCAAGTGTTGGTCTTGGCCATAGCATCAAACCAGGTTAGTGGTAAAAGAGAATATGGCTCATTCTGGTAGGTTTATCTCGAGGATAAAAATAGTCTAAGGATTATAGTCCTATAGTTGAATGTGAATAGATCCGGGTCTGTAACCTGATGAAATTAATACTAGGGTTAGATCAGAGGGTTTAAATGAAACACCTAAGCAGGAGTGTTAGGTATGACAACTGGTAGGGAACCCTCGGATGGACTTCTTAAATAGGTAATATAGAAAAGTTACATGTGTAGCTAGTTGTATATTCATCTAATAGTTCATTATAGATACATTTATATAAAATATATACTTACTATAAGTATTAATAAAAAGCTTGAACCAAAGAGGTCATCTTAATACTAAAAAAAAAAAAAAAAAATGAACTAGTAATATCTTCCTGATCAATGTATTTTGATTTATTTCTAGGAATTGAGTCATTTGAACTAAAACTTGTTGTATTCATTCTTTTAGATGAACTATCAGCACTAGAGGTCAAAGCTATTATTGTAATAAGACTATTAAATACTAATACAAAAAAGAGAAAGCAAAAACAAATAGATGAAATAATTGTTTGTAATAATTTTTGTTATAACTTTAGAAGAAGGAAAAATTAAAAATCTAATAACTTTTTATAATTTTAGATATTATATAATTGTGAGTTAACACCAATCTGCATGTTATTTAAATATGTTCACATAGATATTTGAAATAAAGAATCAATTTTCAAGCCTGTAATTACTTTATTATAAACATGCTGATATAATATAGAATGTGCATTATTTCATGGCTTTTATGAGTATTACTTCAAATAATGCATACATTTTTGAAGAATTGATTTTTTTTGAAATAATGTCTACTTCTTTTCTTTCGATTATACTATATGATATAACTACAAGAATTTTGCTACTTTTTATCTTTTGGGGCTTTGGGGCAATACGACAAGTATAGATATATTGTGTGAGTTTAAAATTTTTTTAACAATATTAACTATTATTGATTTTTTAAATTTAGATATACACACATAGCAATGAATATGTGGATTATGTATGAATCTTAACAATGCTTGACTTAATTAATTATTGTTTGAATTATATGAATGCATAGAGAGGAATATCTTTACTCTTAAGAATTAATCTGTTTCTATGAATTTGAGATAGTTTTTAGATTTTTGGTTGCTGTATTGTTGTGAAATAATGGACATAAGTATTATTTAAACAATTGTACTCTATAAAAATAATATAAATAATTTCAAAATAACACCCATATGTGTCCTAAATAATACACACCTATTATAAACAATTTGAAAGTTCAGATTCAAGAAAATTATTTTTTGTTTCAAAATAATGCTCATGTGTGTATTTTAAATAACACATATATATTCAAAATAATGTGCAAGTAGGTGTTATTTCATGACAATATGATATATAACTTTAGTTAATTCTTGTATTTATTTTTATTCTTAACTAAATATAGACCTTATTTAGGTTGGCACTTAAGGGTCAATGATCATGTTTATGAACTATGATAAAATTACCAATATGCATCTTTTTTTATATGCATTTAATCTAGAGCTTAATTGTATGCTAGTACTACTACAAAAATCGATCTCAACTTTCATAAAAAGCCTATTTAAATTAGAACCTAGGTACAAATGTAAAAATAATGCATGTGCTAGCATTTGCAGAATCCTAATAGTTATGGTAATAGTTATAGTATTTTATAGTTAGAGCATGCAAGATCTTATGATAATGCATAGTCAGATATAAAATTACATTATTAAGTTTTAGTAGAATAAAAGCTTTATAATGATATATCATTTTTTTATTTATCTGTTTATATAACAATTATAGTTATAACTAAGGATAAAAAAATTGAATCTGCTACGTGGGCCTGCATTATGGCTAATCAGGACCAAAATTAGGGATACAAAATTTATATGATTTAGTGATGACTTGTGTTCATTGAGAGCTATTGGTTATACAAAAATTAATATATAATAATTAGTAATTATATAATTTGATATAGCTTGTCAAGAATTACACTAAAACAAAATAGCATAATTTTTGTATACCTGGCCAAAATTCTGATACATCCTGAAAATTTCCGAGCTTCTGAAACTTTTCACCTGTGCAGTGTCCCATCTCTAGTTATAACAATTATCTTTCTTTTAATTAGTTATTACAACATGCTGTTGCTATAGAGAACTAAGTTTAAAAAACTATTTATTGTTTTGTATTTAAGTTTTATAAATTAATCCATTTTAATTTATTGTACAAATTATCTAAATTTTTGAACAGTGTGATAACTAATTCACAGAGTTTCAATTTATTACATAAATCTGGTTGCTCCAATAATTTGATAATCATAAGGATTTTAACCATAGTCAAAGAAAAAATGTCATGATTCATACTTTTCGATTTCTATGTTAAATACAAAATTATATTTAAGGGAACAAGGAAATCTATTTCGAAAATTTTAAGTATTTTTACAAATTAAAATATGAATAATCTAATATAGTAGCATTTGTCAATTAGTTTGAAATACAAGCAGATTTTGCTTCTATATTTTTTGAATAGGTAAGGTATTTTATTTAATTATATATCTAGATATACACAAATATATATAACCTAAATTATAATAATTTTGGAAAATGTTACTAGTGGTCTGTGGATTTTTAATAGTCATATCTTGGATATAAGTGGAAATAAAATTTTTACTTCTAATAACTGATAATGGCCAGAGTATAAGTATTACAATAAGAACCAATAGAAGAAATCATCACCCAGTGTGCAACATATAAAAAAATTATTTTACAATACTAGACATTCTGCTAGTATATATTATAATTATAATCTCACACCATTTTCATTATACCATACAGTGCTGCATATAGTATCCTGTGTATTTTTCAAGAAAGCCAGCCTAAATTGAATAATACCCTTTTGTTATTAGAAGCTAGAAGAATAATACAAATAACTGTTACTAATTAATATATTTCTTTCTATTAGACATATCAAACTCAATGAAAAGATTGTACTATAATTATGAAAATTAGGTCACAAATCTCTTGTCAAAAAAAGGGTAATACTACTCCAGAGAGTACTATATGCAGTGCTGTACATGTGGGATTATAATAATAATATGTACTAGTGGAATAATCTGATAAAATAATTTTTTTATATATTGCACACTGGGTGAAGGATCAGTTATGTAACATTGACAGTTTCTTCTGTTATAAGAACCACCAGTTTAATTCACGTGTTGTTAGTTAAAATATCCAATAAGTCATCTTTTTTTCAATTATGATTTTGTTTTTTTTTTTTTTTTTTTTTGAAGTTAAGGTGAGGTCATGCCTCAAGTCTGTTTATTCGAATATATTGTTACAGTTTGTACAACTTTTTACATTATACATTATCTATTACTA